TGTGTACGTGTGCGTATGCGAGCTCGTGCTCGTGTTCGGCTGCGGCTGCAGCTGCATCAAGCGCTGTTCCAGTCCAAGTTGTGAGCTGTGAGTGGGCGACAGATCAAGCGGGCGAGTTCAAGCACATTGTCCTGCTTGATGGGGAATGCATGCTGCGCGCAAGAAATAGGCCAGGGCAAGCGAGAAGGCGTAGAGTCCGGAGGGCAGGAGGGCAGAAGGGCAATTCGCGGGCGTGGTTCTATGATGGTGGCAGTCAGGATTTAGTGGGAGGAAGGAAAAGGTGTTGTTGGTCTGGATGTAAAGATGACGATGAGCTGCTGCGCGACACGGGTGTATGTACGCAAAGCACTAATGTAGGTAGGTTGGCTCTGGAGAACGCGTTCGGACTCTGGAATCGTGGAGGGGGTCTACGGTGGCCCATTGCTACATCTCTAAATCAGTGCCATATGCCCCGTAATTTCTGAATTCGTACACACCCCCTCCTTATACCTACGCGACTAACCTTTTAATAAGTGCCTGCACAGCTCCTTTTTTGTATACGTACTTTCTATTTCGTATACGCGCCTTTCATTTTATATACGCGCTTTCTATCTACTAGATACCTAGGTACATAGGTACATTTACGCGTCGAAGGGTCTGTTTAGGAAAGTACTTAGAGAGGTGTAGGCTTGGCGTAATATGTGGCGTAGTCTATAGCGTAAGCTGTGGCGTACCTAAGCTATGGCATAGATCGTGGGGCGTGGGCTGTGGCGTAAGCTATGGCGTGATCCAAAGAGTGGGGCGGTATAGCCTGTACGGGCTAGGAATTACCTACACAGGCACCCTGTAGGCTAGGGTGTAGTGTAGGTTCGTACCTACACAAGCCCCTTTGCGCGGACTTACTAGCACCCCGGGGTGGGCGTATCAAAATTTTGGGGCATATGGCACAGATTCAGAGTTCAAGCAATGGGCCACCGTAGGGGTCCCCCGGCTAGTCCTAGTTCGGGTGTTTTCTGGCGGGGCTAGCACTAGATCATACCGGGAGCGGCAGATAAGGCAGATAAGCTACCTAAGTCGTAGTAGTCCGATCTGTCATCCCAAACTCAAAGTACTTATAAACAATACATGCAGGTATTTACCTACCTCCAGCTGTCTTACAGTATCAGGTACACCTCTTCTCTCCAGCAGCATTGGCAAAATACGGCAATTGTCGAGTCCTGAAGCCGCAAGACTCTACCTAGATACTAGGTACCTACCTAGCAATTAGTCTAAGGGTTGCTTGTATCATGATGTCGGTCTCATGGGCACAGAGTTTATTCCACGACAACAACAGATAGCGGGCGGGAATGATTGCGCATGCTGTATTGCGGGAGTCGAAAGCGAGTGCCTGCCCGCGTGCCGAGCACGGTTGAGAGAATGCAGGATCCAGGTCAAGATGCCTACTCGCTAGTTCGGAAATGCGCCACGTCTATGCCGGACAAAGCCAGGATGCAGATGATTGGTAGGAAGCCAGGCGTGCTGCCAGGCATCCAGGGTAAATGTCAGCCCTACCGGGCAAAGAGAATTACCTGACAGGTCCAACAGATCCTGAACGGGTTGTTGACAATTGTTACCTAAGCTAGGTACGGAGTGCCGAGTGGCGTTATTAGTTGTCAGCAACCCAACTACCATGTACTGTCTGTATACAATTCAACACATGTTCGTTGATGGACTCTCGTGGTGCATCCTGCTCGTCCTTGTGGTCCACCTATGTACTTATGAGCTGTAGACCACGGTACATACCTGCATACCTACACACCTAACGTAATCGTGAGGCTTGAGTCTTCTCGGGTACATTCTAAAACAAGAAGTTTGAGTTGCCCAAGGTTGCGCACTCGAGCAGCACTATGCAGGAGCATAATGATCAGCATTCCCCATGCCAACGTACCTAGGTAGGTAACGGCTTGCAGTCGCTGCTAAGCATAGCGGTCCGGAGATCGGGGTTTTGCTTTTAAACCGTCCGCATGCGAATGGAGCTTACAAATGCGGAGACATTCACCGCAATATGGCATGTATCATGTTGCAGAGGCCAGCATGGGTCATAGCAACGTACTAAGGAAGGCAGATATTGCGGAGAGCACAGGGGTGAAGTAGTATATCGGCATCACGCATTCAGGGTCTGCTAGGCACTGCCCACCCAGCATTATGACAGAGAGCTCATCAGAAAGTCCTCGATCGTGACGCTTTTCTTTTGGGTTGGCAGTAGAAATAGAGTATTGCCCGGGAGCTCGACCCGCTGTCGTCCCCTCGTCAGGCGCCAAAGGCTCCCCCGCCCCTTACATTTAGCATCTTTCCACGCCTCAAGGAATCCGAGTAGCTTGGAAACCCTATGGCAGGCACCCAGAGCCCATCAGAAGAGATAAGATCAGAGGTGGAGATTAGTAAAGAAATTGTATTATAGCTTGGAGTATCAGAGTTCACTAATGCCTTTGCCTAACCTAGGTGGGTAAGTCGGGCTCAGGTATCGTGGCTCCCTTTCCGGGCCACAACTTGAAGCAAAAAGCGGCGTCAATGAACATGGGTAAGGTATAGAGTAAGTCGCGATTGCCAACGCTCAGTGATCCGGGTCGAACACGGCCGTAGCTGACAAATGGAACGTCGACAACATTGTGCCACGTCGACGGAGATCGAGTTTATAAAAGGTGGGTGAGCCCGGTCCCACGTCGTCTCTTGTCTGTCTACATCACACCAGCTTCGACTTGCAACATAGTGCCCCATATTGCAACACCCCCCCACCCCCTCAACTCACCAACTCGCTTTTCTGCCCTGAACGATACCTCCCGATTCCAAACTTCAACTCCAAAGCAACTCCGAAAGCCCCACACAATCCCGTTCAACATGGCTCCTTTCGGCAAGGTCTACACATACCCTGGCAATCCTCGCTTCCATCGCGTAAGATTGTTAACTTTCGTTGTCATGTTTCCAAGCTGGACAGTCTAGTCAATACCAACGGGGCACTAATACGCACTTTAGGCCTTGGTTATAGCCAACCTGAACGGCTTAGAGCTGGAAGTACCGCCGTTCGTGATTCGTGAAACCAATACGAGCCCGGAGTTCGTGTCTAAGTTCCCGCTTGGCAAAGTGCCAGCTTTTGAAGGCGCCGATGGCTTCTGTCTCACCGAGAGTGTCGCCATTGCGACTTACTTTGCGAAGTCTGGCCCGTACGCAGATCAACTAATGGGCAGCGGTATGATAATCTGCGGTTGGAGAAATCTTGAACGATGCTAACTCCTCCGCTTCGTAGATGCTAAGTCACAGGCCCTCATCCAGCAGTGGGCACACTTCACCGAGGCTGATATGTTTGGCAACACCGTCGTGCCATACGTGATGGCTGTCAGTAAGTACCATCATGTCGGCGTGAATCGTCGAGTCGTGCCAGCGCATAACACCGCGTTGTATTGTTACAAATGCTGATATATCATGCAACCAGTGAAACTTTACGCTCCGGACGAGAAGCGCTTCAATGACTGCATTACTGGCTTCAAGCGTGATGTCAAATACCTGGAAGTCTCTTTGAAGGGCAAAAAGTACCTCGTTGGGGACAAGCTGACGTTCGCCGATTATATGGTCACAAGCAACCTCTACATCGCTTTCAAGCATTTCATTGATGCTGAGTGGCGCAAGGAGCTGCCGAACCTTGTTGCATACGCCCAGAACTTTGCTGCTGATCCCGAACACAAGAAGGTCTACGGGGAGCTTGAACTCTGCGAGAAGGCCGTTTCATTCAGCGATATTTAAGTGAAAGATGACGCGGTGACCGCCCAGATTTACGCCGCTGGAGTTTTGTCCGTCGCCACTATTGTCATCCAAACTATTCATCCACGCCAGAACGCTCGGCATATTGCAGCTAGTCTGTAGTCAGCAGGGCACTTTAGGACAGCGACGTCAAGGCGCAAGGTCTTTGAAACAATGTTAGCTGCTAAAAAAAAATTTCAATCTGGATATATGTTCATTCGAGTGCGACTGTATTGTATGAAGTCACTGTTACGCATCATGTGATACCTTGCCCGCCCTCAGCCCATCCAGAGCGCAGTTAAATGGCCGATAACCCTGAGAAATACACATGTGAGGAAGTTCCTACCAACACAAGAAGATGGACTAGTGCTTCTGAAGCCATATCACTACTTGCCAATTGACTCTGTCATCCTTATTATGGGAAACAGGCACGTGTTATCTAGACCTCTTACCCGATATTGGGTTGATGACGACCCAGGGTGATCAATGCTCTACATTTTTAGTTTGGCCTGCAAATTCACCAGCTATAGACAAGTCTATACATCCTCCTCTGGGTTCAACATGGTACGAAAATATGGGCAATGGCAAGGTTTCGGTGAGTGACATGCGACCCAATATGATCATATTAAATTACATGCATAGAACTGCCACATGCTACCGATGCTTATTTCTAACAAGCTCAAGAGGTGTCGAAGACCGCGAGGGGCTTTTCCTTAAGTGTCACCGGAGTATTCAGACTATTGCATATACCCTCATCATCATGATGTCGATATGAAGTCACCGCATTTTCGATTGTCTTTGGTACCTCATGAGTCGTTCGTAATTGGGAGCGAACGTGAGTCTGCTACAGGCCCTACTACTAGTACACACAAACATAATTCATATACTATACGTAGTATAATCATGAGTCTACCATCGTTTGGGAAATGTTTCCCGGCAACACCACATGCTACTCACCATCAACACAGCTTAAGGCTATAACTCGCTACACACTGGCACCCACAAGCAAGTTCAGCCCCTCCCACCACACATCGGTCAAGAATTCAGAGACCGCCTAACCCGTGCTCTTCTCTGGCCTCGCCTCTAACCGTGCCATGCAATAACAACTTATACTATTTACGTGTGTCGCTCGTGGAGCGGTTGTGCCCACGACCGCGCTAACGTGACCTAACGCGTTGTTAAGTTAGCTCGGGACCACCCATGGAATCATTCACATACAGATTTTGCCCACCAGATCCCACATCGACGCCCGGTTAGCTCAATCGGTAGAGCGTGAGACTCTTAATCTCAAGGTTGCGGGTAAGAAGAGAGACTTCCGCTCTTTCATGGCTTGGTCTTATGACTGACGATCTATCTATAGGTTCGACCCCCGCATCGGGCTCAATTCCTGATGCCTCCAAGTTGACTTGGAACAACAACCTCTCTTTTTTGCTTTTTGCTTATAAAATAACATGTTGGACTTAAGAACAACATATACTTAATACCTACTTAATGCTATAGAAGTTATCCTTAAAGTTTATTATACTAAGATGTTTTTTTTTAAATATATTTTTGAGTTTTCTTAGACTTAGGTCCTTTTACTAAGCCAAATTCTCATCTACCTATGAGCAACAGGCAACGTGGCTGAGTGGTTAAAGCGTATGACTAGAAATCATATCCCTTCGGGGTCACAGGTTCGAGTCCTGTCGTTGTCGGAGCTGTCCAACTTCGCAACCCAGGTTGTGACATGCCAGGTCTGGTGGTCTAGTGGTATGATTCGCGCTTAGGGTACACCCTTAGCCATCAATTGCGCGAGGTCCCGGGTTCAATCCCCGGCCAGACCCGTTACTCTATTTTTTATTCTCGTTCTCTATTATTTTCATTTTTATGCATCTGTTTATCTATATAGCTTCGCTAATAGTATGTTATATATGTGTTAGGATTCCCTCCCTGCTTAGAGTTACTTAAACCCGCCGCGGATTGTGTTATAGAAATAGAAAGAGAGTGACGTGAGCACTATTAGGTAGGCACCCATTGACCCATCTTTTTCTATTTCTAGGTGTCCGATATGTCGCTAGCTCTTTGGTCATGGACTGGATCCATGGTCGTGAGGGGTAACATAGTCGGGCGATATCAAGTTGCCTTGAATGACCTCCCGCAAGTCCAAGTATCTTTTAAGGACTAGATTAAAGACATGGTGGTGTTTAGCTTTCTTGGTTGCGGGCTCGCCTACCTTTTTTTCAATCTGTTGCGGCAGAATTATACTTATGGAAATAGCATTAAGCAGCGAAACTAACCATCTATAGCAAGTCCCTTGTAGAAAAGCATGTTATTTATGCTTTCTTCGTATTGATTCTCCAATTACACTATGGTTGAATAGCATATATTCAAGACCATGTATTCAATGAGGTGGTCTAATATGGGATCTGGTACTATGACTAAAATCCGAATGTTGAGTCGGCGATAATCCATTATTATGTAATCATATATACTGGGAAGTCTGTATGCACACTCGAACCTTCGCAGCGATAGACCGACATTGTGGAGACATGCAGACCTTCAGTCCGCATCGCAATTGCGCCCTTTGATGACATATAGAATCACCAGTCCCCGAAGACGGGCATATTTGGCACTTGCACCGGGGTAGGACTTCCAATATAAATCTGAGGTCCCATATCGCATCGTAGTTGAACTTGGTTTTCTTTCTATTTTAGCAACTCACTTACACCAATATGGTTGAATCACAGACCCATTGGGTCATTGTCGCATTGGAATCCCGCTTCTGTCCGCTGCCCGATTTTGTCCTGCCAGCCGGCCATACCTGTGAATTCCGGGACTACACCGAAACTAGACCCGGCCTGATAGCGGAGCGAACCCAAGATGCTGATATTGTAATAATGACAATACTGCCGATGACGGCCGATATTTTGAGTCCAGAAGTAACTCCTCGCCTGAAGAGTATGATTGTCCGGATCATAGCCCAATTGACCTTATCACGCAAACACTAATTCTAGAGCGGCCTGGACGCTGAACATGAACCACGACTGACCATCAATCCGATAGTGATCTCGGTTATTGCGTCAGGCACAGACACTGTAGACCTAGCAGCTTGCCGAGCGAGAGGAATAGTGGTGGGCAACACACCTCACTGTAACGTCACGACGGTCACCGAGCACGTACTCGCGCTTTATTTCGCAACGCGTCGCGCTATCATACCAACGAATGCACTGACACGTGCCGGCGACTGGGACGGCAAGGGATCACAATTGGCCATCCTGAATGGTCCCGACGGGAAGGCGCCGAGAACTTGCCGGGACGAGGTGCTGGGCATAATCGGCTACGGCGCGATCGGAAAGAACATCGAATCAACAGCGAAGTTGCTAGGCATGAAGACCATGATCGCGGGGCGAAAAGGTAACCCGGCAACATCTGGTCGTATTCTGTTCGAAACAGTGATCCGCGAGGCCTCAGTTATTATAGTGTGCCTCCCGCGCTCACCGGAGACCCTCAACCTCATCTCGGGGGCGGAGTTCGAGCAGATGAAGCCCTACAGTCTGCTGATCAACGTGTCACGGGGGGGTATTGTGGATGAGAGTGCTCTCCTCTCGGCACTGAGGGAAGGGAAAATCGCCGGGGCCGGCACAGATGTCTATTCGAAGGAACCAGCGAACCCATCCAACAATGATTTGCTCGCACCAGGCGCGGAGGGCCTCAACTTGGTGACAACGCCACATGTGGCCTGGTACGCGGAAGAGACCTTCACAAATTACAGTCGAGCTTGCAGAGCGAACATTGCGGGCTTTGTGACAGCACGGAAGGCTGAGCATCAGGTTTGCTAACGGTGTGAACAATATGGATGGGTGCAAGGGCGATATACAGGCTAAGCCTGTGTCTGATTACAGTTGGCTGCATGTATGGTAACGTAAAGGGTACAGCAACATGGCACCATCGAGATCGTTTTCCAAACTGCATTGATACCTAGTAGTGTGATTGCTAATGACTGCGGATAATAAAAACATAAGGTAGAGCAACGTAGGGAATTAGACGTCCTCACGACATAGAATGTGGCTCTCCTAACTCCTGCCCCTCGCAAATTGTGGCTGTTCGAGGCTTTTACGTGAAATAGTGGCGCAGTAACCGAGTTGTGGCTGTGCTTGCGTCTGAGCACGCACACCATGGTGGAGTAGGCCTATCAGGTACCTAGGTACTCGGTGACGTCTTGCCAACACTCTTTTGGTCGATGCGATGCATACTAGTATGTACTGTAGTCTCACGGAGACTTTGCCCCGGGCAGACTGCAAAACCAGATTGGGTCTCACTGTCGTCATTCTACAACGATCACCACTCTGCACTCCAATCATATCGGGGGAGTTTCGACGGAGCAGTCCTGAAACGGGAATTGACCGACCGCATGGGAGCGAAACAAGGACAAGGGGCTATTGCTTGCTAGTCTGGGGTAATCTCAATTGCTCAACCTGAATGGGCAGGCAGATATGGTGCTCACTCCATACCCAACCATGGCGGGCCGGATGCCAAAAGAAAACCAAGATCAAGATGCTTGGGAGGGATGACTAAAAAGATGTCATATGCTGAGACCCAACTCCCCAAGACCGGCCGGCAACGTCCTCTTTTCCTTCGCATACCGCCTCAAAGAACCTCGTCCTTTATGGGCGCTGCCTCGCCGCACCCCATGGGCCCATGAGCATTGAACCATCCATTGTGTTTGGGACGATGATGTAGTGAGCCAGGGCCCAGCTCATTCCCTGTCACAAAGTCTTCGATGGCGAGGATGGCAATGCGTTAGCAGTTACTGTACAGCCCAGCTCGCCTAGCTGCTCGGCTGGAATCTCTGAACAGAGCCCAACCATAGGGCAGCATCGTTGTTCGACTGCTGATCTCTTATACATTGTACACTAGGCTGATGCCATAATTGCGACGGCAGGAGAGGAAGAGTGGCAAACAGTCTACAAAACCCGGCCGAGCGGTCGACAGCCTATAAACCCTTGCATAGCAAGCCCGTAGCGTGTGTACTCGTAGATAATCCTACACTTCGCTGTCATCGGTTGTCTTCATGCCGTCCCTCTCTTCCCACCTTTTTGCATCTAATGAAGTACAACCCAACGAAAACTCAGAAATGCCTTATACTTCCTTGTGTATATACCGCCAATAATAACTGTGATGACATCCCAACGACCTCGCCATAGCACCCCGGAGACAAGCCCGCAGCGTCCAGCTCTCCAACGGCCGCGTTTCAACTCCCAGGTTACTGCGGATAGACTGCATGAGGGCTCCAGATTTGGGGTATTCCCCATGAGTGGCAATATCCAGAAAGGGAGGAAGTCGGTCTTTCGAGAGGTTGGGCTGGGACTTGATGGAGACGACACCGATGCTGCAATTGCTACACCATGTGAGGAAATACGAGATGCCGAGACTACGACGCCCCCGCGAGAACCGATAACACCGATATATGAACGAAGACACACCGTTGGAGAGGTACCAGGACAGGATCAACCCCGGTGGCTGTCGAAGTTGATGCCGGAAAGGCGACCGCAGATCGACTCATCTGCGACTGCACGTTTCACGTCAGTTGCGGGCCTGCACAAAGTCACTCTGATCGCCTTGCTCATTGCGGTTGTCATTCCTGCCATAGGCTTTAATAATGGCCATTCCAAGGTGGCGATGAACGGTGCAGATGCAGGTGTGATTCGAGAACCACTTGTCAGGCCTGTTTCGGAGAAACGTGCAGACAGTCCAACGGACGTGTGCAAAAGATGGGCTGGTCAAAGTAAACATACCCGGTGCCACATACATGAAGAAAAATACACTAACAATAACAGGCGCTGTTCTAAACGGGACACTTTACTACTATGGCGGTCGTGCAAACGCAACTGTTGACCAGACGACTAGTTCGTGGAGTACGTAAATGATATGTTCTACAAAGCAGAATTTGGCGCTGACCTCGAATAGACAACGACTTTATGACGCTGGACCTTACGAAATCATGGGATGTCAGCTCACCCTCTATAAGTGCGATGCCCCAACCCGATGGTGCGCCAGCCGTGTCGCTAGGATATCTCTGGAACGACTTCGAGCATCTGTTCCTATATGGAGGCGAATTTGACTTTCCGTCCACTGATCCGTCGCCTGTGTCCACATGGATGTACGACATAGCTTCGAAGACCTGGACGGAACTCGAAAATCCCAAAACGTCTGCTGGCGAGTATTCCGACGCAGGAGGTGCGCCAGTGCAGCGCGCGGCAGAAGGAGCCGGAGTATCTGTCCCTGAGCTTGGTCTAAGCTGGTACTTCGGCGGTCATCTAGATTGGGGAACCACGCCAGGGTGGTCGAACCAAATTCCCCGTGTTTACCTGAAGAGTCTTCTCGAGTTCACTCACCCCGGGT